TAGAAGAATGCCAAATTGGCCAAGTAAATGAGTGGAAAATTAGAGAGCAACATAAGCTTTGCTGATTCCATATGGCAGATGGAAGAAGTGATTACCCCTCCCATTCCTCAGAAAACAACTTGAAATATCCCATTAGATATTTCTGTCTTCCAAAGGGTCTTCTCTATACCCTGCCCCTCAGGGAGGCTCAGCCAACTTTTTATTTATGTTTCCCTCCTGGCAGTGCCAAGAACACTGGCTCCCTCCTCTCTCTCCCCTTGGGGATCCTCACTCTGTTTATACACAGAACTTTCTGATATCCCTATGCACACCTACCCAAACATATTAATGTTTAACAAAATGAGGGAGCATCCAGTTGATATGACTTAGAAGGTAGGGTGAAGAGCAAGTTTGCTTTACTTGAGCATAACTTTGGGTTTTTACTCTGCTCTGTCACATCTTATCTTTCACCCAATGACTTTATCAATCTACTAGAGGCCCAGTGCACAAAATTCATACACTGGTGTGTGTGTGGGGGTGTCCCTCAGCCTAGCCTGAACCTTCTCCAATCTGGGACTCCTCGGGGAATGTCTGACTGCCGGTTTAGGCCTGATCCCTGTGGGACTCACAATCCGGGACTGCTGGCTCCCAACCGCTAGCCTGCCTGCCTGATTGCTGCTAACCACTTCTTCCTGCCAGCCTAATCACCCCCTAACCACGCCCCTTCCAGCCTGATTGATGCCTAACTGCTCCCCTGCCAGCCTGATCACCTCCAGATGCCCTCCCCTGCCGGCCTGGTTGCCCCCAACTGCCTCCCCTGCTGGCCTAGTCGCCCCTAACTGCCCTCTCCTGCCAGCCATCTTGTGGCTGTGAGCACTGCCATCTTTGAGGGTGTGGCAGTCAATTAGCATATTCTCTCCTTATTGGCCGTGGGTGCTGCCGTCTTTGCGATGGTGTGAGGGTCAATTAGCATATTCCCTCTTTATTCGATAGGATTATGTCCAAAAATACAGTGCTCTCCACAGGAGGAATTCTTCTATTGGCTGCTGAAAGATTACACTCATTCTCTTTCTCTAGTTAAATAGCCTTGTAAAAGGCAGAAGCAATATGGTTGGCAGTAACTTAATTTCAAGCACCATGTTCAATGAAGGACTGACAAGCTCTTAGTACAGGCTCAGGAGATGATGCTCTGTGACAGGTCAGCTTTCTCTTCAGAGGTAGAGTTGAATGGGAGCTTCAGACTTTAAATAAAGCTCCAAGACAGGATGAATGAGGACACTACACAGAGACTGGTGAGTAATTTCTGAAAAATACTCTGCCAATATACTAGCAAATGCTGCCTATAATACACATGCAGAGAGTACTGAGAGGGCTGGAAATAGTTGCAGAACATCTAAAAGTCATTTCAGGCTATGGCAGTTACTTCAGCAGTCCGTTACCAGAGACAAGAATAGTGAAAAGAGCTGATCATCTTCACGGGTATATATTCTTCAGCATGCATGGAGTTCAAGTTCAGGTGATTTATAATTGACCTCATCTTCTGGACAGGTAAACTAACATCTTAGGCAGTGTACCTCTGTATACTGAAATCTTTGCATTAATGTTATTTAAATGTCATATGTGTAGATAGAAGTCAACGTTGGTGTGATGTATCTTTAGTTGGTAAAAGTATCTTTATCAGATGATGATGAGTAGAGTACATGCTACATGAAAGTGGGGAAATTATTTTTGTTTTCTTTACTGCTGTATTTCTAGGTGCTAGAATAATGCCTAGCACGTGGTAGGTAGTAAATATTTGCTTAACGAATGAATGAATCTTCCTTTGACCAATCTGCCATTTATTTAAAGCCCAGTATGTACCTCTTAGAATTATAGATGATGTTAGTGAAAATGGTCTCAAGATTGTGTAGCATGACTTTGCCTCGGGAATCTCTTTGTCACCTAAAGGGCTAAGCCTCAATAAAGGCTGTTGGAAGATGATTGTTATAAAACAGTAAAATTTATGGTTGAAAATCTCTACAGAAACCCAGAGCTGACATGGAATGTCATCTCATCTGATCCAGTCCACCCAAAGGACAGACATTTATCTTTTGTTTAGAGAGAAAAATAAAGGCAAGTTTGAACTTTTACCCAGCCCTGGTGGCCTTGAACTGACCACAGCTGTTTCTGTACCAAAGACAAGGATTGGGGATAGGGTGGAGGATTGAGCACAGACCTCACTCTTCTGGGTGGTCTTCACCTTTTCCTGGCTGCATGGCTCTGGGCAATTGCTGTCTTAACCACATGACACTCTAGCTCCTGTATTTGTAAACTACCACTTCTCCCAAGGAAGATGTGATAGAATGTCTACCTGTCTACCTTAAGGGGCTGTTTGGAAATTCCAGATAAGATGTTTTTGAAGTACTTGGCTTAGTTGAACAGTTTCACACAAATAAAAGTAGAAATTCTGAGTACAATTACGGAGAAATCAAACAGAACATATCCAACAGTTATTCTAATTGTACAAAAATAACATTGATTAATGAAACTATGAACTTCTAAAGAAAGAATAAAGAAACAATTGACAATGTCCTAAAGTCGAGGGCAGCCACACCTCCCACTGAGGAACCACACAGAATAAGTCAGTTTCTGCAGAATCATCCAAGACACCACGGGATGGTGATAATCAAAACAATGCAAGCAATGCTATGCTTTAAATTTGATCCTGATTTGATATAACCATACACCAGAAATAGCTTTACTGCAGTAAAATATATAGGGTCTTAAAGATGAAGTCTAGATATTTACTGCTGAGCTCTCAGCTGCATTTCCGAGGAATCATCAGCACCATAAGGTAGGGAATGCAATACTTCTTCTGAGGCATTGCGGTTGCTGAAATGCAGACAGATGGAATTCATGCACTCTCTAGTCTAACACAGAAACAGCCTCACAATAGGATCAACACTTATTCCTTGAACATTTTCTCTTAAGCCTAGAGAGAGGATATTGTCTAGACCGGCTAGTACAATCTAAGCGTTTTTCACTTTATATTTGGTTTCCTTTCCACCCTTTAGGAGTCTGTACCTGTAGCAACAGGTACAGTCCTGTGCTGCCCCCTCTAAGACTATGCAAAATATAAACACCTTTCATATTTTGGCAGGTGAAGTCCATAGCTCTAATTTGTATTGATATGGAAATCCTGGGGTTTAATGGGAAACCAGACTTTTGTTGTTGATATGGTGAGGATTGCACGTGATAGCATCATAGAAACTTGCCAAATCAGCTAGTATTTAATGGCCAGCAAATCGAAATTCTGGTTTCTGTGACAGCATTGGGAACTAATCCATGAACAGCACTTTCTCTTTGCCTTGTGCCAGTGTATTGTGCCCCATTGAGATGGAGGTGACTCTCCCCAGCAAATGTGAATGAAGAAGCCCTCGGGTGCCGCCCCTCTGCTGGGGCCAGGAACGCGGGAGCTCTGACAGACTTGGGCCTCTAGCCTGAAGCGTTCAGAGTCTGCACTTTTCTGAATTTCAATTTCTGAGTAAAAAATGTTGCATGTTTCCTGGTTCCCTTTAGCTGGTCAACAAGATTCATTTCATTAAGGAATATGTGGTTTAGGGAGTGGTGACAGTGAGGGAGGAAGACAAAGAGAGACAGAAGTTTTCAAGGGTTGTATTTATCTACTAGTACTCTGGATTGAGAACTCATGAGAAAAGTTGGTGGTTTTTGTTGGTTTTTTAAGTTCACAAAGGAAGACATGGTCATTAGAAGAACATTTGTAAAATGCAATGGATTTGTGTAATACAATGAAGAAGGTAAAAATTACTTTATATCCTAATACCAGGGATATAATCACAGTGACCTTTGATTTACTTCTTTTTAGGCCAAATTATATTATGCTTTTTTTTGACCATATGGTGTTTTTCTACTCCTTATTACCTTGAATTGTGCTCCAGGACATTATTTTTGACAATATACTTTTCAATGACTGTAATGGTATTCCTTCTTATGGAGGTACCAAAATTTGTTTCCTCAATTATTAACCATGATGGCATGAATATCCCTGAAAAGAAAAACTTGTATTTATTCACAATAATTTCCTTTGTATAAAATTCAAGAAATAAAATTGTTGGGACAAAGGTTATGTGCATGGAAAAGGCATTTGATACACATTACCAAATACTTAAGTGTGTTTTAACACCCACTTTGTGGAGCTGATTTATTCTCTTATTAAAATATGTTCTAAGCTTTTATCTTATATTTATTATCTATAGTAATTTTGAAACAATGGATTATTTGTTGAATTTTCAGAAGAAAATGAGCACCACAGTGCTAAAAAGCAAATAATACCAAAGCGCAACTACGTTAAGAGAATGAAAATATGATTCGCTAATGCTACTTTACGTTCTTTATGCCAAGAACAGACTTGGAGGTTTTTAACTGGCATTTTTATTTACGGCGAGTAAATATATTTTAAATACAGGGGCCTGGAGTCTGTGCCTGTGTTGAGCACACTGCAGGTGACTATTTTACTGTACCTTTCTCTGTGCAACATCGAATAGTGTTTTAGAAGCTAGAGGGGGTTTTGTTTTTTGTCTTTTTTGCTAATAATCACCCATATGTGGTTTATTATCGAAAGCTTTTAAAAAGTATTTGTTCAATAAATAGCACTCCAGTTTGAACTAATTTTCAGTTATTAAGAAAAATACTCCCATTTGGTATTGTCCCTACAGAGGTTGAACCAATCGATGGGGCTGCTCTCTTGAGCTCCACACATGCCACCCAGGGGCCCGATTTCTTTTGCTTTCCCAAGGCCAATGGGCTTTGTATTATTTCCAAGTCGTGTCACAGGGAAGCGTCTGTAGGGCCAGAGGAAAAATTGATGACCATGAAACTGCGGGGATTTAGAAACAAATCTGTTGAACAGCAAGGGAAGTTTTTCTTGTTCTTTATTTGCTTCTCTTATTTTTAAAAGGAAAAAAAAAACAACAACAAAAAACCAAAGCATTATTCTGACGTTGTTTTTCTTCCCTTTTCAGCGTTCTGTGGAGGGGGCGAGAGCTTTCTGTGCGCCAGTGGGATCTGCATCCCCGGGAAACTGCAGTGCAATGGCTACAACGACTGCGACGACTGGAGCGACGAGGCTCATTGCAGTATGTGTCAGGCCGCGGGGTCCCGTGGGCGCGGGCGGGGGAGGACAGGGATGCTCTGCGGGGGCCTGGAAACCAGCCGTTCCACTGTCCCGTCCTGACAACCGGCATATGCTGGACTGCTCGGAGGAGTTTGCCTTTCTGAAGGGAGAGCGCCTGTTTGCCTTCCCCTGGGGCAGCACTGTGTTTGCACACCTTTCACAGGCCTGTAGGAACTCAGCAGCTCCGTGCGCCTGGAACAGATCAGGGGTGGAAGTGTTTTTGCATAAAGTCTCTTAAAATGAGGAGAAGGCTTGTCGTTTATTTTGTTTGGGTGAGGATTTTTGTTTTTGTTTTTAAAGCTTTAAGGGTATAAAGGTCAACTTTTTTAAAAAGGACATGTTAATAGGAACATTTTTCGCCCTCATGATTCTTCACATTCATGACACAGCAGATGCCTAGCCTCCTGTTGGTTTACGCTTCCTCTAAGCCTGAAGGTGGTCAGTGGCATTAACTGTTTGAGATCCATAGCTCGGTGGGTTCAGCCTTCAACACCCGCCCTTAACTTACCATTGATTTGATTAGTCTTCAGGGGATTGGTCGGCGGTTTGCCCAATATTGCATTAATGTGCTTGGGCTGCCACACAAAATTCCACAGACTTCATGACTTTTACAGCAGGAAGTTGTTTCTCACTGTCTGGAGGCTGCGAAGTCCAAGATCAAGGCCCAGCAGGGTTCAGTGTCTGGTGAGAGTTCTCTTCCCAGCCTGTAGGCGGCTGCTGTCCTCTTGTGTGCTCACCTGACCTCCTTAAAGGGAGAGAGGGAGAGAGGGCAAGCAAGAGGGGAATATGGAGAAGCAAGTAAAAGAGGGAGAAGGAGAAGGGAAGGGGAAGGGGAAGGGGAAAGGGGAAGGGGAAGGGGGAGGGGAAGGGGAAGGGGAAGGGGAAGGGGAAGAGGAAGGAGAGAGAGAGAGAGAGAGAGAGAGAGAGAGAGAGAGACAGGGGTGTTGGGGGGTGCTCTGGTACCTTATCCTCTACTTACAGGGGTACCACCCTATTGGATTAGTGCCCCACTCTTAGGACTTCATTCAACCTGCATGACCTCCTCACGGGCCCTCTCTCCAAATAGGGTCATGTTGGGGGCTAGGGCTTCAATATGTGCACACTGGGAGATCAGACATTCAGTCCATGACAAAGGCATATTCAGATTGCAAGTCATTTTACACTTATGCAATAGATAAAAAGGAAAAATTAGCCTCAAGAATACAATGTAGGATCTGCATCTAAAACGGAACCGTATGCTATTGTGTTCTAATTGCTTTTTAATGGTTATATGAGCAGCAATCATTACTATGAGAAAAGCTGTGTTTTACTCCTCGTAGAAGTTGCCAACGCTTTGTAAGTGCTCGCAATGATTGACCACAGTTGAGATTCCTCTGGTCTATGTGTCAAGTAGACCAACTTTTCTTCCATCTGAAGGGTTAGGATGCTTATTTGTCATAACTTTTAAAGGCCATATATCATGGTAACATTTCAGATCAGTGTTTCCCAAACTGGTGTTCCACATTGCCTGAGTCTTGAAAAATGTTTGAGAGAAAAAAATAAGTTTGAGAAGTTCTGTCTATCAGATTTACTTCTTAGATATTTACAATTCATATTTTTGCCTTAAAGGTTCTAAGAAATCCTGCAAGTCAAAAAAAAAAAAAAAAAGACATTCATTTTGCTTAACTTGGTATTTCCTCAAAATTACATGTTTAGAGATACCCTAAGCTTAATTTATATATTTATTTATTCACTCATTCACTGATGTATTTTGCAGAATATCTAGCATCCTGTGGAACTTCAGTTATGCCACCTATATTTTTGGAAATGTTTTCATTGAGACATTTGTTTTTATAATTTGGAATTCCCTCTTCAGGAAAACCTATGGCAGATGATTTTACATAGAAAACATTTTTGTAGGATGTATGTTTGCGTTAGGGAATGTTGCTGTGGACTACAAGAAAATGTTGTGCAAATTACCCACAACAAGGAATTTAAATAGAATTATATCCAGTTTATGGGAATGGTGCTCTCTCTCAGTTGTGGCCCATGTGATGGTATTATTAAAATTTCCATGGGCCTCTCCCCCCAGGGGTGGCCCGACGCGGGCTTCCTCATTATGGTCCTCTGTTGCGCTGAGCATGGCACTTTACACAGTGAGAGCTTTCCGCTGCGTTTGTTGAAACTGAATTTGAAGGAGTACATTGCCAGTACTCCTAGCCAGTGCCTGACAGAGATGGTATTCCTATTCTGGAAGGTCTTTAGCAATGTCTTCGGGGCTGAACTTTTCCTTAAAGAAGATATGGCTTTCCTTAGACACACTTCCAAACCGATCTGGTCAGGTCCGTTGAGGACATGCATTCCTCAGAATCCTTGTCTGTGAAGATGCGTCGGCAGACATTGAAATCTTTGCAGGCAATTGTCTCTGACCTTACAAGGTCACCTGCCTCTGTGGAATCTCAGCACGTGTGCTTGGAGAGGGTGCCACCCTCCCGCTGTCCCCACCCTGCAGTGAAGGACCCGCAGCAATCAGAGCATGAAGGTAGCCCACAGATAAGACGCTTCTGGGGGTGGGGGGGGGTGGGGGAGAGGAGGGGGCGGACGTTGTGCTGGGCCTTTCCAATGAGGAGCAGGAGGAGGAACCTGGTGCCTGGCTTCTGGCAAATAGGGGAAGAAGAGGAGGAAGAGGAGGAGGAGGAGGAGGAGGAGAAAAGGGAGGGGGAGGGGAGGGGAAGGGGAGGGGGGTAAGGAGGGGCGAGGAGATGGGGAGGAGAGGGAGGGAGGGGGAGGGGGAGGGGAAGGCCTTGAAAGAAAGGAAGGGAAGGTGTATTTTTTTTGTGAATTCCCCAATCAACTGTGCTGGAAGCATGTACCTCCATGATTTGACTTAATTTTCAGCAAAGAAGGTATTCTCTTCCCCTTCTGTTCAGATGCCAAGCTGAGGCTTAAGGCAATGAAAAAATTTGCCAGTGGTTCCAAGTGCTAGGTCTGAACCCAGTCTCGAATGGGGCCAAGCCGAATGCTGTTTGCTCCTGTGCTGCCTTTGACTTGCCCTTGTCCATAAAAGACTCTCGGCGGGCGAGTGGTTTTATTCTGATCATTGCTATGGCAAATGTCTATTTTGGATGCTCTGTTGTGCTTGGGAGATGACTGCCTATTACAGGTATCGGGACTGCTTCCTGACTTTCTCCCCTAACTAATTTTGCTGTGTTTATCAGTCTCATCCTAAGTATTTGTAGAATGAACAGATTTCCAACCACCTGGAACAATTTAATGATGTAGCATAAGGAATTTTGAAAATTACGAAAAGTTTTCTTTTAAAAGTTTCTAGCTCTACGACGTTAGGCAGGCGACTTCTCTAGCCCTGGTTTTCTTTGTCATCCAGATGGGTTGACAGTGGCATTTCCACATGTAGGGACTCTAATTCAGGTGGTTTTCCAAATGATGTTTCCCAAACATCACAAGTGACTGCATTTACGATATTCTTTTTTACTGAGATAGGGATGCAAGTAAATATGAGAAATATTTCCATCAAAATAATACAAATATTTCATTCTCCACTGAAGGAAGAAGCTTCAGATGTCTGGAAAATTCATGTCTGTTTAGTGGCAATTTGGTTATGCTGAATCAATCCAACTATTGAATATCCTTGAATTCCTGCTGTGTGTGAAGCATATTCTAGATGCCTAAGAAGTATAATGACTCTTAAGACATGGTTTCTTTCTTCGCGAGGCTTTTAATCTAACCAGGGAAATGGCCTAGAAGCATAGAGATCATTGGATGTGGTATTTTAGAACAATGTAATAGAAGAGATGTCACAAAGCAAAAGAAGAGTGCTGTAAACAGAAAGGGAGGTTCTGTAAATTGGGAAGAGAGGAAGGTTACTGGGAGTTTGGTTGGCATGAAATAGCTGATGAAAAAGGTGGATTAAAGCCAGGCTTTGGATTGAAGTGATCTTCAGATACTGTGGAATAGTGGTTCTCCATTGGGGACAATTTTGTCTTCTAGGGGACATTTTTATAATATATGGAGACGGATTTGACGCTCACAACCGTGGGGGTTGGGAGCAATGCTATTGGCATTTAGTGAGTTGAGGTCAAGGATGCTGCTACATTGCATTGGGTAGCCCCTCCCACAACAAAGAATTATGCAGTCCAAATTGTCAACAGTACTGCAAGTCAGAAACCCTTCAGTGGTTCTCAACCTGTGGGTCGCGAACAATGAAAATACATCCTGCATATCAGATATTTACATCACGATTCATAACAGTAGCAAAATTAGAGTTATGAAGTAGCAATGAAAATAATTTTATGGTTGTGGGTCACCACAACATGAGGAACTGTATTAAAGGGTCGCAGCATTAGGAAGGTTGAGAACCAAAGACAGAAGTCAGTAGTCAAAAGAACCCCAGGTAGACGAGAAGCCTCGATTCACCTCATAGCCCTGCTATTAGTGAGCTGGGCAACTGTGGGCAAACCATTTAACCTCTCTGGTCATCTGAAAATGAGGAGATTTGGAGGGAGAAATTGAGCATCCATACTGGAACCTTGAAATGAGGCAACATATTAATGCTTACAGACTCATAGAGACTGAGCAAATTGAGTGAAATCCTTGATAAAAGGTTTTCTGTTCCTTCGTTTTCTCCCTTAATCTCACAATCATTTTAAGAGACAAAAGTTAATAGTGTGAGGTGCCAAACTGAAATAAATATTAACATGCAAGAACTTCATTTTGTATCAAGCTCTTATTAAGAAAAATGATCTGTATCTAGAAAAACATCTACCTCAGGTCATGCAAAATTATGCTTGTATTGAGCAAGAAAATCACAGCAAGGAGCTTTTGAACATTTTCATTTGTTGGCCCCAAATTGTGCTGGCAACATTTCTTTTCAGTGCAAATAAACATTTACTCCAGTAAAAAGAGGCACTGTGATCTTTGCTATTTGCTATGAATTTCTGGCTGTGCAGTGCCTCCGGTTCAGGTTTTGTGTGTTTACTAGTCATACAGACCTTAGGGAGGTAACAAGTTGTTTTCCAAATGTAGCTAATTTTGTATCTAACCTCTGAGAATGGCTTCTAACCAAGTAAGCCATAACAGTGGAAAGTTGAATCTGTACCTGTGTGTGTAAATAATAAGGAATTGTTTTCTTTAATGCTTGAGTCATCCATGAAATAATGTAATACATGACAGCATTAATTTAAAAATATCTCAAATGAGGTCTTAGTGTGAATTACTGGGAATCCTAGAATAGGTCACACAGAGGACACGCGAATCTTTTGAAAATTTTGGTGTGTTAATCAGATTCTGTAAGGAGTGTTTGATGCCCCAGTCCTACAATCAAAAGAAGTGAGGTATACCGCTTAAAAAAAAACCCCACCTAACTCATATGGTTTAAAATATGCCACCTCTCCACCGCACCACCACTTTCAGGGAATGCGAGTACTTTCGCATTAATGGTCCAGTTGAGAATCCTTGATATTACGTATTCTAGCATACTGCTTCAAAACTTCCCACAAGAGTAATTTAGGTGAAAACAAAACAAAACCGTAAAAAGTCCTTTTACAACTTTTCAAGGAATCGCATGTATCTTGATGCACAGATTTCCCAACTCTGCTTGGTGGGCGAGAACACAAAGGTCAGAATCCTTTTCAGACTCAGCTAGCACATGTGCAATAGTCCCAGGCAGCGATTGGGTGCAGAGTGGGGAGTTAGCGCCCTCTGCTGAACGGGAGGAAATAGTACAGCTCTCAAGGTGAAACTAGAACCTCTTTGTAGTTCTTATATTTTTCCTTATGATGGTTACTCTCATTTGAAAATTATTCAGCCTGGGGGAAATGAAAATGAATACTTACAATTTCTGCATGTATATACGTGTGAGCAATGTGTTCACATGTATGTGTGTTTGTGTACACAAAACACCTTCTTAATGAGGGTGCTGAACAGATGATTTCTAAGGCCAATTTTGTTCTAAAATGATGTTATTCTAAAGTATTTAAGTAACTTATTTGAAAAGAATAGAGCCCAATTGTATGAGATAAGGCTTCTGCCTCAGGAGAAATGATCAGCTGGAATTCAGGGGACCGTACTACTGACTACTAGATTCTTGGTCTTCATCAGCTAAGTAGACTGACCCTCAAATGTACCCTTATTTCTCTCCTCTTCCATGTTCTTGTTATTCCCACTACCTGAAACATAGTGAAGTTTTAATGCCATCCACATTTCTGCCCATCTTCTATGCTCTCTCTCCAGACTTAAGGATCTATTTTTGTACTTACTTCACTTCAAATAAGAGGAAAGATAAGACACTTAAGAAATCTACTTTCTAGCCAATACAGGCATTTTTACATATATTAATTTAAAACAGTTTTGCAGTTTTATTGAAGTATAATTTACAAACCATAAATGTATCCCATTGATTGTTAGTAAATTTATGGTTGTGCAACCATCACCACAATCCACTTCTAGAACTTTTCCATCTCCCCCCAGATTTCCCTCCCACCTATTTGCAGTCAGTCCCCAGAGAAGCACTTCTACTTCTCCACCCACGGATCACCACGGCTCTGATCTCTGTCTCTATAAGTTTTCTTTTTATGGAAATTTTATAAGTGGATCACACAATCTGTAGTCTTCGTGTCTGGTTTCTTTCACTTGGCATAATGTTTTTGAGGTTCATCTATGCTGTCACATGTATCACTAGTTCAATACTTTTAATTCTAAATAGTGTTCCATCATATATCAGTGGATCATCTTACTTATCCACTCACCATTGAGTGTTCGGATTGTTTCTAGTTTTTGGCTGTTATGAATAATGCTGTTATGGACAATGCACATACTAGTCTCTGTGTGGATATATGTTTCATTGCTCTTGAGTAGATTTTTAAGGGTAGAATTCATGAATCATATGGTAAAGTTATAGCTCACTTTATAAGAAGCTGCCAAACAGCTTTACATGGTGGCATTATAATTTTACATTCCCACTAGTGGTATATGAGTTTCAGTTTTTCAGAATCCTTATCAATACTTGCTATTGTCTGTCTTTTTCATTATAGCCATTTTGGAGGTATATAATGGTATTTTATTGTGGTTTTAATTTGCATTTTCTTAATAACTAATTATGTTGAACACCTTTTCATGTGCCAATTTGCCATTTGTATGTCTCCTGTGATGACTTTCTATTCAAGTCTTTTGCTAATTTGTAACTGGGACTTATTATTATTGAGTGTAAGAGTTCTGTGTATGCTTTATCAGATACATGATGTGCAAATATTTTTTCAGTATATAGGTTGTCTATCTTTTCATTTTCTTTTCTTTTTTAAATAATATTTTATTGTTGACATTATTACTGATATCCCCTAATTTCCCTCTTTTTGTCCCTCTCCAACCAGACCCTGCCCCCACCTCCCTCTGGCCCTTACCACATTGTTGTCTGTGTCCATGGGCTATGCAAATATGTTCTTTGGCTATTCTCTTCATTCTCTTAATAGCATTTTAATTTTAATTCTTTTTTTACTTTTGAATAATGTTTATTAGAAAGAACTTCCATTTAAATAATGTAATAATTGTGTAAAATACATTTTTAAGAGAATACTGTCTTGTTTTTATAAAATGGATGCATGCTCAAAAATTCAAACAATACAGAACTTAATAATATTTTTTTAGAAGTACAAATATTTTTAACTTTGTGAGGTCCATTTATTAATTTTTCTTTCATGGCCTATGCTTTTGCTGGCATATCTAAGAATTCTTTGTCTAACCCAAGGTCAAAGAACAAAGCCCCCCCCCCCCCATATTTTCTTCTAGAACAGTGGTTCTCAACCTTCCTAATGCTGTGACCCTTTAATACAGTTCCTCATGTTGTGGTGACCCCCAACCATAAAATTATTTTCGTTGCTACTTCATAACTGTAATTTTGCTACTGTTATGAATCGTAATGTAAATATCTGATATGCTATATGTGTTTTCCGATGGTCGCGACCCACAGGTTGAGAACCGCTGTTCTAGAAGCTTCATAATTTTGGCGCTTACACTTAAGTCTATGATCCATTTTGAGATAATTTGTGTGTATAATTTGAGGTAAAAGTCAGAGTTCAGTTTTCTACCTTAAAATCTAATTATTCTATTACCATCTGTTGAAGAGTATTCTTTTCCCATTGAATTATCTTTACATCTTACACACATTATTTTATTAATCTCTATGTCCAAGCTGTATTAACTAATGATCTTATCCCAGTTTCATAGGTCAGTTCACAGACTCATAGAGTTTTAGCTAATACACTCAAATTCCCATGGCTAGTAGATGGCAGAACTCGGATATGAGTTCTGTTTTGCCCCAAAACAAGACATAGCTTCTTATTAAAATTTCCTCACATGTTGTTCATTCCAACGTTAAACTATATGCTTCCTGAAGCTGCATACCACTCATTCTTATCTTTATGCCATACTCTAGGACAGTACCTGCTTATTTAAGGGTCATCTTATGAAACACTCTATTGACTTGCAGTGGTTCTCAACCTTCTGGCCCTTTAAATACAGTTCCTCATGTTGTGACTCAACCATAAAATTATTTTCATTGCTACTTCATAACTGTAATGTTGCTACTGTTATGAATCGTAATGTAAATATCTGATATGCAGGATGGTCTTAGTCAACCCCTGTGAAAGGGTCGTTCGACCGCCAAAGGGGTCACGATCCACAGGTTGAGAACCGCTAACTTAAGGGATCATGTTTGTATGAAAGTGAGTAATGACTCTATAATCGAAATAAGTTCTTCTCTCCATTGTGTTTATGCTTATCATGGACAAAACTAGACTTACATTGCAAAGGAAACATTTTTAGGAAATAGCTACTTACCCTCTACTGAAGTCATTGCTTCTGTATGAACATGAACTGCATGAGGAACTATGATGAATTGAGAATATCATTTCTCATATTTGACTATAAAGAAGCTTTTAGGGGACATAAAGTGAAAGTCTCAGAAAGTGATAAAAGCAATAGCTTGGGAGCCCAAGGGTCCTAGCCCTGGTTCTGCAGTAGCTTGTTATGTGACCATGAGCAAGTCATTGGATCTCTCTGCACCTGTCTCCTCACCTGTACAGCACTAGGTGTGGACCAGGTTGTCACTATGGTTTCCCTCCTGCTGATATGCTTTTGTTACATAGTGCACCACTATAACATCACCTTCTGTTCAGATGGTACCTGAGTGGTTTCTCTTATTTGCAGATTGCAGCGAGAATCTGTTCCACTGTCACACGGGCAAGTGTCTTAATTACAGCCTTGTGTGTGATGGATATGATGACTGTGGGGACCTGAGTGATGAACAAAACTGTGGTAAGTAGCATTGTCTTCCTAATGTTTTCATTAAACATTTCAGAAACTTATCACCAAGCACATGTAGCTTGTTGTTCTTTAATATGATTATGAGCAGGTTAAATTATAAAATGTTTGGTTTCTTAATTTTAGAAAGGGGACTTTTTTTTCAATTACCAGCCTCAATTATGTCTTATGTATAAACTAGAGGCCCAGTGCACAAAATTTGTGCATGGGTGGTGGTCCCCTCAGCCCAGTCTACACCCTCTCCAATCCAGGACCCCTCGGGGGATGTCCGACTGCTGGTTTAGGCCCAATCCCAGGGACTGGGCCTAAACCGGCAGTCAGGCATCCCTCTCACAATCCTGGACCGCTGGCTCCTAATCGCTCACCTGCCTGCCTGCCTGGTCGCCCATAACTGCACCCGCCGGCCTGATTGCCCCTCACTGCCCTCCTGCCAGCCTAATCACCCCCAACTGCCTCCCCTGCTGGCCTGGTTTCCCCCAACTGCACTCCCTGCCGGTCTAGTCACCCCACACAGCCTGCTGTTCAGTAGTTTGGTCGTCCCTATAACCCCCCTGCCGGCCTGGTCATAGGCAGCCATCTTGTGAGGGTGCGAGGGTGAATTTGCACATTACCTCTATTATTATTATTACTATTATTATTATTAGTAGTAGTAGTAGTAGTAGTAGTATTATATAGGATGTAATACCTCTTAAATACACAGTCATACTGAGGAAATGCTTCAGAAGTGGAGTGGAAAGGCCACTACCGGCTGTTAATATGTTAATATTATTTTCTCCTTGAAAGTGTTCTGTTTCTTTGTGGTTCTTCCTGTGGCTCATGTTTAGATCTTGAGCTCTTGAGCAAAATTTTGCAGGAAGATATAGCATTTGTCCCTTGAACCTCCTTATTTTTAAAAAATATGGTTTTATTGATTTTTAGAGAGGAAGGAATGGAGAGGGGAGAGAGAAAGAGAGAGAGAGAGAGAGAGAGAGAGAGAGAGAGATCGATCAATTGGCTGCCTCCTGCATGCCCACTTCTGTAGTAGTGACATGTAGGATTTAGATGGCACATTTATTTTATGTACAAAAACTTATCTTTTAAAGAATAAACCTAGCTTTTAAAGGGTCTTATTCAATTCTGAGTGCCATCTCTTGAATTAAAACCAGCAAAATTTCTCTGGCTTATTTACCTTTTTGACTTGGCGATTAACTTCAGAATGTTTAGGTAAGACATTATTGAATGACATAGGAACTTTGTAATATGAACAAAGGGGAAGCTTGGATGATGAGGGGCACTGGGCAAACGGCTTGAGGTAGTACTAAGCGTTGGAGAATATTGGGAGGAATGTTGGGAAATGCTCAGGAGTATGATCGAAGAGTGCCCCAGAGTGCGTGTGTCTGAAAACACACAAAGCCGTCACAAATATGTCAAACCAGCTCTCTACCTTGTGAAATCCAAATCACAGTTGTGTTTATATGAGCCAGCGTAAAATCACGTGTTTCTCATCAGGAAAGAAAACAGTGACAAAACAATAAACAACGACAAAAATAGCTGTGGGTCCTGAGAAAGCTGGACAGGCTTTCATCTGAAAAACAGACACTTGGGTCATAGTGACGGTGCCTAGGAGCCCACAGGCTTGGGCGGGAGGTGATAGGAACGTTGCTGGAGGTGTTAGGGCAATTGGAATAGACGCTCCTCCGTTGGAACCATGAGCCAGAGGGACTAAGTGCCCGTCATGCTGGTTCCCTGCATCGCGTGGACTTTCCCTCCTCCAGACTGCAGCCCCACGAAGGAGCACCGCTGTGGAGATGGGCGCTGCATTGCGAAGGAGTGGGTGTGCGACGGCGACCATGACTGCCTGGATAAGTCTGACGAGGTCAACTGCTGTGAGTGCCCTAGGATTTTGTTTGCTTATTTGGCCATGTCTCGCCTGTGTAGACCAACACACTCCAGTTTCACCATCTAAACAGCCTTCCAAGGGAAAGATCCTTGTACCTTGGTCCTTGCCTAGAAAGATAATAATAGAATGGTGTGAGGACAATGACAATGTAGTTAATGCCCTTGACCTCCACACGTTTCCCCCAAGAACGTCAAGCTTTATTGGCTGGATCTGGCCGAGCAGATGGCTGTTTTCTTTCTCTCTTTGCTCCTGTGTCCCCTTCCTGCACCCGTGACTTTGTCCAAGGGGCTGCTCTCCCCAGAGGCTGGGGGACTTTTCTATTGCAAATGACACATGAGTGGTTGAGCCTCCTTGCAGGAGCCTCCAGACATGCTCTCAGGCACGTTCTGTAGGAGAACATGGAGAGAATTGCCAGAGAGAAGAGAGCATTTGATGCTCATAGACTCACACAGAGGCTGTGAAAACAGTTGGGGCTTCACTGCCTGTCGTATTCTGGGTGAGTGAACAGTCTCCAGGTAGCTGTTACGCTATCTAGATAATAAAATCAAGTATGGCTGCTAATTCCTTTTTTCCTTTAGAAACTGCACTATACTCAGTAGAGACTAAGAGAATGATTGAATAGAAGCAGTTAGGTGTTAAAAGCAAGTAATTTGACTTGAAAGAGTTAATATGATGCATTTAATGCCTGGTTGAATGCACTAAACTTTTTATTTCATCTTTTGCTGTCCAATACAAATAGAAAAAAATGTTGGTATATAGGATAGTGAATATGTAAGTTGCCTATCATTTGAGGCAACAATAGAAATGCAGGGTGCATGGTTTTTATTTTGACATAAGAAAAGGCATATAAATTATCAAATGCAATGCTGGACTTCCCCCTTCCCTGAATTGAAAATGAGCTGCAATATCCCCAAGTCCTTTCTTAGTGGAACACAGCGGCCCAGAGCAGACTGTACTTTGCTGATCCCAGGAAAGCAAGGACATGATGCTCATGTACCACGATTCTGGTGCTGAGCCTCGATTCAAGAATAGGGAGTTTTAATGTTCAACAGTAGCTCGGTGCAGGCTGAGGTCATATAAAACATGGTTTCTGATGCTCTAAAACAGTGATTCTCAACCTTCCGAACACCGCGACCCTTTAATACAGTTCCTCATGTTGTGGTGACCCCCAATTTCATTGTTACAAATTGAACATAATTAAAGCATAGTGATTAATCACAAAACAATATGTAATTATATATGTGTTTTCCAATGGTCTTAGGCGACCCCTGTGAAAGGGTCGTTCGATCCCCAAAGGGGTCACGACCCACAGGTTGAGAACCGCTGCTCTAAAAAGTGACAGTGATAGAATTTAGACAACGTCTAGGAACCGTACGATTAATGGCCACTATACCATCCATTTCAAATGCCAGCTGTCCCAAGCAAGTTTTGAAATAATGTGTTTATTGTATGCGAGGTGTCTGCATGCGCTTTCGTATGTTTCTTTTCATTGCCTGGAATGACAGGCTGGGCTAGGACTCAGAAACCTGCCTGCACATTCCTGCCCTCCCTGTAACAGCCATGTGACTGTGAGACTAAGCTCTCTAAGCTCAGTTTCCTATTCCAAGCCAGGTCAATAACATCTCCATTGCAAGCCTGTTGTGGGGATTTGAGATTAAATACAGAATGCCCCTAACAAAGCTATTGCCACAGAGTAAACTTTTAATAAGTTGTGCCTTTTGTCATAGGAGCATCACTCCACCATCATTAATACTACTTCCCATCGTGAGGCTATCAAAGTAAATCCGCAGTGAGTGCTATTAATAAGGCACGAGAGATTCTAGAAAGAAACCATTCCATCTCAAAAAACACTCGGCCTTGTTTCTAAATTAGCGATGCATCCACTCCTTGATACAGAACACTCACAGAGTCACAACACTCCATCTCCTGGCGATGCCAGGAAAACAGGAGCCGTTTCTAAGACCTGCAGACTGCGAGGAGGGCTAGTCAGCCACATGACTCTTGTTCTGGCTTCCCCCAGCCTGCGGCAGCCAGGGCCTGGTGGAGTGCCGGAGCGGCCAGTGCATCCCCAGCACTTTCCGATGCGATGGGGACGAGGACTGCAAGGATGGCAGTGATGAGAGGAACTGCAGCTACAGTAAGTGTGTGCCCTGCCCCGAAGCGTGCCTTAACGGTGGGTCTTCCCCTGGGAGCGGAACTGCAGCTACAGTAAGTGTGTGCCCTGCCCCCGAAGCGTGCCTTAACGGTGGGTCTTCCCCTGGGAGCGGAGCAAAGGGCTGGAAGTTATGGATGCAGAAATAGGATTCTCACATGAAGAATTCCAGATTGCCTACTGCTGTGGCCCTCACAGCCCCGTCAGCCAGAAAACACCCCGTTGAGGATTTCCTCAAGCAACTCACACTGAACTATCATTCGTAAGGGTGCAGGGTAGAGGTTAAACACTTACACAGCATGGGGAGAGTCTATTAACTGTTTGATGGGGAAAGGCATCGCTGTGATAAAGAGTTCAGTATATGGTATTCGATTAAATTAGATTCCAATTAGTGGGCACTGGCTTCTGAAATTAAATGTAATAGCTTCATAGATTCACATGCCCAGAGAAGCAGTTGAATGCCTCACATTACCAGGCAATACACTTAAACACACTTAAAGTATTACAGATAGTAGTACGTATGTCTCCTTCTTTTTTTTTCCCCCATTGACCTTCCCCCGGCCTCCCCTACCCCCTGGCACATGCCCTCACCGCCCACCCCAGTGTCTTGTGTCCATTGGTTATGCTTATATGCATGCATACAAGTCCTTCAGTTGATCTCTTACCTAGCCCTCGTCCCAACACTCCCCAGCCTTCCCATTGTAATTTGACAGTCTGTTCAATGCTTCTCTGCCTCTGTATCTATCTTTTTGTTCATCAGGTTATAATGTTCTTTATTATCCATAAATGAGTGAGATCATGTGGTGTTTTTCTTTTACTTCCTGGCTTATTTCACTTAGCATAATGCTTTCCAGTTCCATCCATGCTGCTGCAAATGGTAAGAATTCCTTCTTTTTTGTAACAGCATAGTATTCCATTGTGTAGATGGTCCATAGTTTTCTAATCCACTCATCTGTTGATAGGCACTTAGGTTGTTTCCAAATCTTGGCTATTGTAAATTGTGCTGCTATGAACATAGGGGTGCATATATCCTTTCTGATTGGTGTTTCTGTTTTCTTGGGATATATTCCTAGAAGTGGTATTACTGGGTCAAATGGCAGTTCCATTTTTAAATTTTTGAGGAAACGCCATACTGTTTTCCACAATGGCTGCACCAGTCTGCATTCCCACCAGCAGTGCAGGAGGGTTCCTTTTTCTCTACATCCTCTCCAGCACTTGTCATTTGTTGATTTGTTGATGATAGCCATGCTGACAGGTGTGAGATGGTACCTCACTGTTGTTTTGATTTGCATCTCTTGGATGATTAGTGACTTTGATCATGTTTTCATGTGCCTCTTGGCTTTTTGAGTGTCCTCTTTTGAAAAGAGTCTATTTAGGTCCTTTGCCCATTTTTTGATTGGATTGTTTATTTTCCTTTTGTTAAGTTGTATGAGTTCTCTGTAAATGTTGGATATTAAACCCTTATTGGATCTAACATTGGCAAATATGTTCTCCCATGCAGTGGGCTTTCATGTTGTTTTGTTGATGGTTTCTTTTGCCGTGTAGAAGCTTTTTATTTTGATGTAATCCCATTTGTTTATTTTCTTCTTAGTCTCTCTTGCCCTAGGATCTGTGTCTGTAAAGATATTGCTACGACATATGTCTCCAATTTTTCTGCCTATGGGGTCTTGTAGGATTTTTATGGTTTCCCATCTTACATTCAAGTCCTTTAGCCATTTTGAGTTTGTTTTTGTGTAGGGTGTAAGTTGGTGATCTAGTTTCATTTTTTTGCATGTATCTGATCAAATTTCCCAGCACCATTTATTAAAGAGGCTGTTTTGACTCCATTGTATGCTCTTGCCTCCTTTGTTAAATATTAATTGAGTGTAATGTCTTGGGTCAATTTTCTGGGTCCTCTATTCTGTTCCTTTGGTCTATATGTCTGTTCCTGTGCTAGTACCAGGCAGTTTCGAGAACCGTGGCTTGGTAATATAGTTTTATGTCTGGTATTGTGATCCCTCCAACTTTGTTCTTCTTTCTCAGGATAGCTGTGGCTCTTCGGGGTCTTTTTTTTTATTCCAGATGAATTTTTGGAGATTTTGTTCTAGGTCTTTGAAATATGCCGTTGGTATTTTAATAGGTATTGCATTGAATTTATAGATTGCTTAAGGTAGTATGGACATTTTAATGATGTTGATTCTACCAACCCATGAACATGGTATGTTCTTCCATTTGTTTGTCTTCCTCTATTCCTTTTTTCAATGTCCTGTAATTTTCCGAGTATAGGTCTTTTACGTCCTTGGTTAAGTTTATTTCTAGGTATCTTATTTTTTTTTGTGTGTGTGTGTGTGTGTGTGTGTGCAATGGTAAATGGGATTGTTTTTTTTCATTTCTCTTTCTGTGAGCTCATTATTGGTATATAAAAAGGCTATAGATTTCGGGGTGTTAATTTTGTATCCTGCTACATTGCCGAATTCATTTATTAGGTCTAGTAGTTTTTTGATGGAGTCTTTGGGGTTTTCTATGTATAATATGATGTAATCTGCAAATAAGGACAGTTTTACTTCTTCTTTTCCAATTTGGATGCCTTTTATTTTTTCTTCTTGTCTGATCGCTATGGCTATCACTTCCAGTACTATGTCGAACAGGAGTGGTGAGACTGGGCATCCTTGTCTTGTTCCTGTTCTTAGGGGAAATGGATTTCTTTTTTGCCCATTGAGTATGATGTTGGCTGTAGGTTTGTCATATAGGGCTTTTATTATGTTGAGGTATGATCCCTCTATTCCCACTTTGCTGAGAGTTTTATCAAGAAAGGGTGTTGGATTTTGTCAAATACTTTTTCTTTTTTTTAATATATTTTTTATTGATTAAGATATTACATATGTGTCCTTGTCCCCACATTACCCTCTACCCCCCCCCCCCCCCGCTCATGCCCTCACCCCCCCGTTGTCCGTGTCCATTGGTTAGGCCTATATGCTTGCATATAAGTCCTTTGGTTGATCTTTCCCCCTTACCCCTACCCTCCCCTACCTTCCCTCCAAGGCCTGACAGTCCAATCAATGCCTCTCCGTCTCTGGATCAGTCCTTGTTCATCAGTTTATGTTGTTCATTATATTCCACAAATGAGTGAGATCCTGTGGTATTTATCCACTCTCCAGTTCCATCCATGCTGTGGCAAATGGTAAGAGTTCCTTTTTCTTCTTCCTCTTCTTAAAGAATACCTTTCAGCATTTCATATAATGCTGGTTTGGTGGTGATGAACTCCTTTAGCCTTTTCTTATCCGTGAAGCTCTTTATCTGACCTTCTATTCTGAATGATAGCTTTGCTGGATAAAGTAATCTTGGTTGCAGGTTCTTGCTATTCATCACTTTGAATATTTCTTGCCACTCTCTTCTGGCCTGCATGGTTTCTGTTGAGAAATCAGCTGACAGTCGTATGGGTACTCCCTTGTAGGTAACTGACTGTCTTTCTCTTGCTGCTTTTAAGATTCTCTCTTTATCTTTTGCTCTTGGCATTTTAATTATGATGTGTCTTGGTGTGGTCCTCTTTGGATTCCTTTTGTTTGGGGTTCTCTGCGCTTCCTGGACTTGTAAGTCCATTTCTTTCACCAGATAGGGGAAGTTTTCTGTCATTATTTCTTCAAAAAGGTTTTCAATATCTTGCCCTCTCTCTCCTTCTGGTACCCCTATAATTCTGATGTTGGTACGCTTGAAGTTGTCCCAGAGGTTCCTTACACTATCTTCATATTTTTGGAATCTCTTTTCTTTTTTCTTTTTCGGTTGGGTATTTTTTGTTTCTTTGTATTTCAAATCTTTGACTTGATTCTTGGGATCCTCTTGTCTGCTGCTGGATCTCTGTAAATTATTCTTTATTTCAGTCAGTGTATGCTTAATTTCTAGTTGGTCCTTTTTCATGTCCTCCATGCTCTCACTATACTTATTGAGGGATTCATTAAATTTATCGGCGGTTTCCATAAAATTCTTGAAAAACCTTATAAACGTGACCTTGAACTCTATATCCAATTGTTTGCTTTCCTCCATTTCTGCCATTTGTGACCTGTTTCTTTGTCTCCGCATTTTGGCAGCTTCCCTGTGTTGATAGTGGCCCTGCGCTCCAGGTGTCCTGTAGGGCCCAGTGGCTCAGCCTCTCCAGTTACCTGAGGTGGACACTCTTGGTGCCTTGGTTGTTGTAGGATCACTGGGAGGAATTGACCTCCAGGCCAATTGGCTGTGAGAATCAGCTGTGTCTGAAGTGGGAGAACTTCTGTGCTGAAGACACCCTTCTGGGGCAAGACTTGCTTCAGTGGGGCTTTGGTGCTCACTGAGTCTGCTCCCTGAGTGTGTCCCTTATGGATCTAAGGAGTTGCAATCTGGATGGTCCCCCTCTGACCACTGGGTACAGTGGCTCCTGGATCTAAGGAGGTGCTAATTCAGCCTCTGCCTGAGGTTACACAGCAGGAGTCAGGAAGAGGCTCAGCTGTGAAGCAATGCAAGCCGCTGCGGGGCCTTGGGCCTTCTCTTGGAAGTTCCTGGTCTGTCTGGCTTGGCTGCAGTTAGGTACATTCACATGCAAAAGCCTCTGCCGCAGCCTGGGTGGGGCGGGGTCTCAGGGAGTCAAAGGGCGGAGAAAGCAGCTATGGCTGATTCTCCTAAGGAGTCGCGCATCTCAGTGACCCGACAATTGCTGCAAGCACCTCTGAGGGAAAGCCGCACTCAAGCTCGCCCGCTGCCCGACAGTCCATCCTCTCCCCGCATGAGTCCTGGGTCCCCAGAGACTTCCCGGAACCGGAGTTCAGAGCAGTCGGGAGCTTGTGATTCAAAAAAAACAGCCGCGTCCTCAGGTGCCACCCCCTTTCCGCGCGCACGAGCCGCCGTACCTCTGCACTTCACCTCCGCAGCTCCTCTGGCTCTCAGTGTGCTTTTCTTTCCTTCTAGTTGTAGAATTTACACTCAGCCAGGCTTCCTGTTGTTCTGGATGATGTCTGCTCTGTCCTTTGCGGTATTTT